ATTCTTTTTTAAAATTAACTTTTGGGGTACGATGATTTAGGAACAATAGACATATGTTCAAGGGAAACATAATCTGTGACCTGTGCATTCAGAGGTGGCCACTCCGAAGCCCATGGCCTTTCTTCTTCCCTAGGGGGTCTTTTAGGAACCCATATACAGGACTGAGAATAAAAAAAAACTCAAAAAAGGAATTCTTGTCTTGGTTTTTATTCTCTTTGGACCGAAGGAGCCAAGGATGGTATGTGTGCACCTTTAGCCCACACCTTCCTCTTGGGCCCCATATCCAAAAACTTAACTGACTACTGGATGTCTTCAAGTATGAGACTGCAACTGAACAGATAGCCCGGAGTGAACTCCTTTCCTTCCATACCCCTGCCTTTAATCCCATCTCAAGATAGGACATTGCCCCTCGCTTGGTCAAACCAGAAACTTTCGTTCCAACTTCATTTCTCCCCTTGAACTAAATCATTCCTGCAGAATCTCTTCCCCAAGTGTCTTAAGTCTACTTCTGCCTCCTCATGCCTCTGACACTGCAGCAGACTTGGGAACTGTCACGTGCTGCCGGGATTCATACAGGGCTGTCTTAATTCAACTTCGTGCCTCCTTTCTTAGCCTCTCCAGCTTTCCATGCCCAGGAGACTGATCTGGTCAATTTACTTCTTCACATTCTACCCTACCCTGCATCTGAGGACAAAGTTCAGAGTTCTTGGTTATTGGGTCTCTCCATGATGTGACTACCCCCGCCCCCCATGGACACCCTTGCCTCCTGTCACTCCCAACCTAGGATTCTATGATCCAGGCCTATGGGCGAATTCACAGCTTCTCCTGTCTGGATCACCCATGTAGCCCACTTTTCCTAGCTAACTGCTGCCTGTTAATTTGGGCTCTCCTCAGGCAGCATCTCCAGGAACCTTTCTTTACCCAGAAAGTCAGGGATAGGCATGCTTGCAATGTGCTTTCTAGTAGCGCCACCTTGTGCTTCCTTTTCTCATAGCATTGCCCCCACATACTCACTAGCATTCTAAGCTTCTAGGAGAGAGAGAGACCACTTCCTTCTCAGTAGCTTCCCAGGGGTTTGTTGAATGGATGAATGAGTAAAGAAATAAGTAGAAGAATGGGCATCGAAACATTTTCATTAGATGGGATGTCAATAAAACACCACCATTTAGAATGCAATTTTAAAATGAAATTCCCCATTGGTTCTTAATCAATGGCTCAGATGTGACCATCGCTTTGGAAAGCAGCCATTATCATATCCAGCTCCATCAGCTTAATGTTATTCCCACAGAGCCCATATGGAAGTAAGTTAAGGGAAGGGATCAAGGTAACAAAACTTAACATGAGATATCTGAGATTGAGACAATTCTTTCTGACTCCAAGGCCTATATTTTTTATATCTCTCTCAGCCCCAATTTTACATTTATTCAGTGAGAATAAATATTTGTGTTTTTGTGAAGAACAAGTAAGTTAACCCAGGTAGAATATTTAGAAGTCACCAACACTCAGCATGTCCTGGATGCATGATGGTGATTACTGTTACAGTCTCTCACGCTGCCTGCAATTAACATGCCACAGGCTGTGAACAGAGGTCTGCCAGCTACACAGTGCCATGCTCAAGTTCTCATTGAGAGAGACCCATTATCTTGTCATGGCCAAAGAAAACAACAAAGCAAGTGAAAGAACTTGGGCCCCTTTCCTTAGCAACACGAGTTTAAGAAGAAGGCAGAGATTGCTCTGAAGATGGGATTACCAGGGAAAAGAGAAACATTTCTCCACCTTCAAGCATTTCCTGCTGGAAAAGACTGACATGGAAATCAATGGGTGGGAATCCAAAAGGAGTTGGGGGATGAGGATGTGTGAGACCTCACGGGAGGTTAGAGCTCATACAGGAGAGAGCAGCAGTTAGGGAGGGTCCAGATGGTGGTTGGGGCAGGAAGAGTAGGGCAGTGACAGAGGAAATCACCTGTGAGTGGGTCGGTTCTTGGAGAAAGTGAAACCGTTGGCTCTGTAAGCAGGCTAGTGAGGCGCTAGTGCCTCCTGTTGGTCACGCCCCCATAGTCAGCACCTCATAGAACCACTCTTCTGGAGTCAAATCCACCACCCACCTGTCAGCTTGCTGTGGCATGGTGGCTCGTGTGCGGCTGGAAACAATGCCACCAGGTTTTGCAATATTAACAGGCTCCTCCGTGGTGGACAGGCTTCAGGAGAACGTCCAGAAGGAGACAGACGAGAAAGAAAGGTCTGGTGACTGACTTCCACAAAGAGAACATTGACAGGGTGCTGGAAGATGGGCCTTGGGGCTGGAAGGCACTCAGTATGCACCAGGGCTGCAGTGATGGTCTCCAGCACGCCAGCGGTGGGCCAGGCGACTCGGCTTGCCATGTTTCGTTCTGTTTTACCAGGGACACCAGAAACAGCAAACGGATGAAGGCGGCCCTGGAAAGGAATAGGTGCTCTGTTCTCCCCCAACCTGAAAGCCGACAAGAGGAAGTTTTAGCCCCCCTTACCTCTACTCACACCTACTGGGGGCCCTGGGGGTGCAGTGGTTATGGGGTGGGCTGCTAACTGAAAGGTTAGCAGTTCAAAATCACCAGCCCCACCTCACGAGAAAGATGAGGCTTTCTACTCCTGCAAAGAGTTGCAGTCTTAGAAACCTACCGGGGCAGGTTTACCTCTTCGAGTCAGAATTGACTCGATGGCCGGAAGTTTATGTTTTGAGGGGAGGGTGAATTGGGGTTTGTCTCAGGCCTTTCATAGGGGCTGGGCTTTAGCTCCTGAGTCAAGCGTGTTATCACGACCACAGGAGCTCAGGAAAATAATGGCGAGTTAAGGGACTGATTCCCTTCAGAATCGCTCAGACTTTGCTTTCACTGGTCACTTTAATTGATACTGTGTTAGATTCGTAAACGATTTTGAATTTTCAACTGCAAAGGACTTGGAATTCAATTTAGACCTCAACTCCCTGCCTCCCCCACCAAACAACAACAACAACAACAACAACAAAAACCCAACCCACTGCCCTGGAGTCAATTCCAATTCAGTCACCTTACATAGGATTTCCAAGACTGTTCATCCTATTGGAGCAGACAACCTCATCTTTATCCCTTGGAGTGGCTGGAGGATTTGAATTGCTGACCTTATGATTAGCATCCCACTGCCGAATCCACAATGTCACTTGGGTAAGAGCTTTTGATTTTCTTCTCCACGTGTAAGAGGAGGAGGGTTCTCTGCTGGTAGTCAGAGCAGCACTAGCTCCATTTGTCTGGTTTGAGAAGAAAGTAGTGAATGCAGTGCTATTTTACTTGTATGACTTAGTGTAACAGAGAAGTCAAAGTCAATTTTAGCAGCTACTTAGTTAACCACCTTCTTTGAGGAGTAGGAGTTGAGAGGTCCAGGGGATCTGGGAGTTCCCCCCTTAGCCCTCACGTCAAGTCCCACATTGGGGTAAAGTCATGGGGAGGCTGAAGGCGAAGGCGTGTTTGGTTCAGCATTACTGTATCACCTGCCACGAGGATGATGATCTACCAACTCCAGTTGCAGGAGCCCTGGTAGCACAGTGGGGGTTAAGCATTGGGCTGCCTAACCCTTAAGTCAATTGTTCAAACCCACCAGCTGCTCCAAGGGATATAGATGAGGTTGTCTGCTACTGAAAAGATTTATAGTCTCAGAATCTCTCCAAAACAGCTCCAGTTTGCTCTAAAGGGTCACAACGAGGGGTCAGCAGAGAGTTTTGTCTCAGTTCCAGGGCCAGACATGCGTCAGGGAAGACCGTGCTGAGAAGTTGGCAGCCCCGTTTCCTGTGCTTCAAATGTCACTTCCTCCACTGTAATAATGACCATAGGAGGAGAAGCACATGAACCTGGGAGGTGGTGCTGGCTTCCATTCTGCCTTTCAACCACTTTGTGGTCATCTCCAGCTCACCCTTGAAATCATTTGCAAAATATTTTGGGTGTGCCTTCTTCAGGGGAGACGGTGAGATTCTCATTCCGTCCGTCTGTATTGGCGCTGCCCAGCGGAAAGAAGTGTCGGCTTCACATTGTTTGTGTTCTAGTTGCCTCGTTAGAAAAGCACAAAGAAGCTGGTGAAATTAGTTTGGGTGATAGTTTCACTTAGCCCAATAACCCCCACATATTATTCTTTCAACCTTCAGTCAAAATTAAAATCCTCTTTTTAATGCGAACACTGCAGAATAAAACTAATCTGTTATACCTCTGACACACTGCAGTTTTGACTCTAGGACTGGGCCACATTTCAGATGTCGAATGGTGGCTCGTGACTACTTTATTGGCCTACACGGGATCTTCTCTCGATGCTAAGAAAGCATCTTGGGGTGGGTGATCTCTTCAAACTTTCCATACAGCTAGGTAGTTCCCCAGTTCTGAGCCTGTGAATTCTGCAGGCACCGTTTTAGTTGCAGGGCGGGCAGAGGAGAGGGGCTGCCGAGGGATTGGGCTTCTAGCCTCCACTGTTGTTTGGTGCAGACTCCCTCTTCTTTCTCACTGCTGACTCGGACTCTTAGCAACCTGACCCCCAAACTCAGCTCACTGCCATCGGTTCTGACTCAGGGCGACCTTATAAGACAGACTAGAACTGCCCCTTAGGGTTTCCAAGACTGCAATTCCTTAGGGCAATGGAAGGGTTCATCTTTCTCTCATGGAGAGACTGGTGATTTCAAATGGTTTACATTGTAGCCCTCAGCCTAGTTCCTAACCCACTACCTTACCAGGGCTCCTGCAGACTCATGGTGATACTAGCTTGCCCTATCTTGCACCGTATCCAGGATCAGTCATGGTTCAAAGCCCTGAGATCTATTTGGAAGCAGATACCTGGGTCATTCTTCCTAGTCCTTCTTCATGTGGAAGCCCCACTGAAACCTGTTCAGCATCGTAACAGTGCTAAAGTCTCCATGGACAGACAGGTGGTGTCTGCACTGGAAGTGCTTTGGCAAGAAGGTTCCTACTGAACCACCATGACCCTTGTATCGGTGGAAGTTCCCAGGCCTAGATGGAGTAGGGAATGCCAGTTCCTTTTGTGCATGGGCTGAGGCTGCACGTGGCACTGTGCAGATGCCAGGCAGCACAGTAGTACACACCCTCATCACTCTTCTCCAGCTTCTGCACCCACAGGGTGCAGCTGCGGCCGTCCTTTGCCTCCATGGCTGTGATTTTTTCTGCTTTCAAGCCTGAGTCCCAACGTATATCTGACTGGAACATGTCAAGATAGAGGAGCCTCTCAGGGGCTTTGCCTTCCTGATGCCGATACCAGTGGATGTATCTGACTGTTGATCGGACCTGGCACTGCAGGGCAACTGAGCTGCGCCTTCGCCCATGGACATAGGCCGGCTGCTCTAATCTGATGTCTGACTGGTCAGCTACAAAGGAGATAGCAGTGAGACTGGGGTATCAGGAAACCACACAACCTCTCCCCAGATGGCACCAGAGAAGAGACTTACCAGGTAACAGGAGAACCAGGAGAAGAGCCAGGTGGCCCAGCATGGCTCTACATCTGCAACAGGTGGAGTGAGGTGACCAGAATGGCCTCTCGTCTCCAACTGCTGAGCACAGGTGGAGGAGGAAAGATGCTCTCAGTGGGATGGGCCTCACCGTCTGAGCAGCAGAGGGCAGGTCTGCATCTGTTCTGTTAGTGCACACCAGGAACACGAGAGAGATGTGAGGGGTGCAGGGGAGGGGGGCAGACAAGGAAAAGACCCAAGAGCAAGACATAAATTTGACATAAGTTAAAGGGAGAAAATGATACATTAACCTACCTACTGTCATTGAGTTGATTCGGAGTCACAGCCCTATCTAGGGCTTCTGAGACTAAATCTTTATGGGAGCAGACAGCCCTCAAAGGGTTGGTGGATTTAACACGGAGTCCCGGTGGGGGGGGGAGGTGCTTTTTGATCAGCACCACCAGGGCTCCTGGTCACATGGTTTGCAATCTGAAAAATATGTAAAGAACATTGGTGGAATTTTGACCCCATGAATAATCACAATAGGCTGCCCACTCCATTTCAGCGCTGCTCGAATTGATTTCTGTTTACTGCTTTATTCAACCCTCTGAACAACTCCAAAGAGGTCGAGTGATGAGGAAAGAGAGGCTGCTAATTTCAGTAACTTTTCTGCAGCCACACAGCTGACGAGGAATAGAATTGGTCTACGAAGCCAGGTCTGGTTGGTAACAAACCTCCTGCTCCTTTTAGCATCTAATAGCAACAAAACGAGGAAGGATTTGTATGAAAGGGACACCCACAACACAGCTCTTCCTCCGGGAAAAGCAAAAACACATATCCACTCTCTGAACTAGCAGTGATATTGTGCACATTTCTCTCAGAGACAAAACAAAGATGGAAAATGTCTTAAAACAGTCTGACGAAAACTGCATGCTATTTTATTTCCTTTTCCCCGTCGGGAAAGAGTGACCTCATGAGGTTACATGGAAAGTGACGGTGGCAATGTGGGTACAGTGCACAGCCAAGTCCCAACAGCACAGAACACCAGTGTGGCGTGTTACTATGGAGTTACCGCGACACGGCAGAATGCCGGAAATGATCTGGGGCCCACATAAAATACAACTGGTTGTCCATAACAAAGTTTTAGAGGATAAAGACTGTGTGTTTTTATTTCAGGAAGGTATTTAAGTTGAGCCAGTACACAGTGAATCCCTAGAGGCAGAACAGGCCCTCCATTCCAGCACGGGGTCCTCAGAAATGGTCACAGCAGGACATGAAGAAGGGCCAGCCAGATGTACTTTGCCATTCACCCTCTTGAATTTTTGCTCCCTGTTTTCCTGTGTTCAACATATGAAACCCAGGATTGATGAAGCTATAGAGACAGCAATTAGAAGAAGCGTCCCTGGGGGGTCCGTTGGGGGAGGGGTGGCTGAAAGGAAGCTGATCTCAAGGGCTTCAGAAGATAGTGATTTGAAACTGATGGCAGCAGCAATCGTGCAATGCTGCGTGAGCTGATTGAACTATGGAGTGGTAGCATATTTGTAGTGGTTCCCAATGCAAATTTTTGGTTTTGAGAAAACAAAACAGAAGAAGGACCAGCTAGAGAATGTATCTGTAATGAAATTTGGAAAAACAGGCATAGCCTCTGTGCCCTGCTCAAGGTCAGGCCTATTTCTAGCATGCGAGTTACACGGGGCAATTCTAATGCCTGGAGAGCCACGAGGTGAAGGAGGTGGGGCCATCGGACAAGGACAGGTGGCCTGAGGGGCATAGAGGTGGAGAACCATTGTGGGTCCTTCAGCACAAACTACCAGCTAAAGGGATACCAGAAGCAAAACTCACTACCATTGAGTCGCTTCTAATTCATGGTAAACATATAGAATAGAACTGCCCCTATGCATTTCCAAGACATAACTCTTTATGGGTGTAGAAATCCCCATCTTTCTCCCAAGGAGCAGCTAGTGGCTTTGAACTGCTGACCTTATGGTTAGCAGCAGAGTACATAACCACTAAGCACCAGGGCTCCATTGCAAAAAGGATACTCATGGATAATATTGATCTCCTCTCTAGGTATCTAGTTCAGCAAGGCAAGGGACAACAGTGGAAATCAACCAATAAATCTAATATTATTAATATAACAGACCAGTGTGTCATTTTGCAAAATAGCCAGAAAATTAAGATTCCCTTCAGACTAAATTACAACAGAAATCAAGAGAATTTTCAAAGCTCTGGGGCAAGATCTTGAATATGTTCTGCTACCCTTCCCAAAATGAATGGGAATTACATATGATCCTCTTTACTGATGGGTATTGATTAAAACAACAACAACACAATCATCAGATTCATAGCTACATAACAGCACCATAAATGTGTTAGTTTTCTCTAGTTAAGATACTGCATTCAACACTGTAATATTACTGTTATCCGCAGTCATCTACGATGATTGACCTCATTAAGTAAATTGAGGTATTATGGGTCCTCACCTCTGCATCCTTAATTCTTTGAGGATGTCACTAATTGTGGTAGTTACATAATTTCATGTCAACTTGATAAATAAATATAGGGGTGGAATCTAGCCTATCAATCAGATCACAGCCTGATGATGCCTCCTTGTGGGTGTGGCCTTCTCATGAGGATTCTGGGAACTTCCTCTCTTTCTCCCTGGAGGTGGGCCACACTCTATCTCCATTTCACTTTACTACTGTTGAGATACTTAGAGAGCTAGAGGAGCCACATGGAACCCTGCGCTAATGCTGAGATGGTTCCATTGCCATTGGATCCACAAGGATTTCACTCACCAGCCTGTGATCTGTCCACATTAGGCATCATTGCACAGCTGTGTGAGTCTGAAGAAGAATTTATGGACTAGTATCAGACATATGTGCTAATATCAGACTTATGGACTTGATCTGGACTGGGCTGGGATGTTTTCTTAATATACAATTGCTCTTTGATATAAAGCTCTCTCTCTTACACACATATGAGTGTCTAGATTTTTTCTCTAGTCTTCTTAACACATTAAACCCTGCCATTTGTATGACATACAGTATTTTTTATAATCATGCCTAGGCTTACAATCATGCCTTGGAGGGAGAGGGGTTCTGAAAGGTCCATCCGACCTTTTCTACCATGATGTCTGTAACTTCATAGGCTACTGGACTAATATGATGATTCTGCTGAGCTGTTAATTATATACATCCTGATTATACTCAGAGGGACTAGGGTGATGACCACGGGCAGGCAGGTCCGTATATCTCTTGGACTCTACTTTGAGATGGACTTGGACTAGAATTTCCTTTAATGCCTAATTTCCCTATAATTTCACACTAATTTGGAGCCATATTGATTATTTGGGATTCCTTATGTTGATGTTAATTCAGATTCTGTATTTAGATCTGATAACTATGCAGCCCTCAATCTACATCTACTAAGGTAAATGGCCTCAGAGCCCTCTTGGGAAAGAGGGACATCACTATCACATACGGTGGGGCTGAAAAATGCTTATTGAATGTTTCCATTATTTTTTAATTCTATTTTTCCACTAACCTTTTGAAATCTTCTCATGTATTTGCTGGGCTCTTCGTTAAGGGTACCCAGACTTTTCTTCATTCAAAAGACTCTGAGTTTGAAAACTGGGACTATGGGCATAAGCTTTCTGATCATCCTCTCTGATATATTTAATAGAGAAGCAGCACCATGGTTACTCGAGCATTTATCTTGCACCTAACAACACTGTGGTCTATTAGCCATCACCGCAAGACTCTTCAATTGGAGCTTCCTGGTTGCTTTCATAGCCTTATTGGTTTTTATAATAATTAGGGAGTAGTTATTACCTGATTGTTGTCCCATGTCTTTTAGTTTTAGTTACAGGCGTAAAGTCTGACGGACTATGTTCAGTTTCTAATTTGTCTGAGTCTATGTTGGAGTGGAGTACCATTTTATTTGTTCAAAACAGAGCAGCTATAGTGATTAGCTGGAACTGATTGCCCCAAGAGAAGATGTAAGTAGGATATAATGACTGGCATATCTTCCACAAGAATTTTTTCCCGAGATTCCCAATCATGCGAACTATACCATGGTTAGTGATGGTGTGGGACATATCAGTTTGTCCAAAAGAGATCAGCTCAAGGTCTTCATGAGATCCAAAAGCCCCTGGGAAAGATATAAATACCATGCCTACTCATTATCTCTGGATAATGGCTAGAGACGTGTGATTCAGCACGTTAGCTTACCTATGCGGTGGCGCTAAGGAGTCCAGGTATCACAGTGGGCTGGATGGTGGGCTGCTAACCTTAGGCACAGCCATGGGAAACCACCCGCAGCTCCACAGGAGAGAGAGAAGGCTGCTGCACCTGTAATGATCGATAGCCCCAGAAACTCTACTCTTTCCTAGAGAGTTTCAATGAGTCCGAATCAACTCAATGTGCTTGAGAGCTTGATGTCGCTGGGTTAGTCACTATCATGTCAGTTTCACCTCATGGTGGCCCCACAACAACATGAATGCTGCTTGCGTACAGAGGAGGGAGGAGTGCAGTTTCTTGGAAGATGAAAGGCTGGGCTAGTTGTAAGTAAGCTCGGGGGGTTCATGACTAAGAATATAAGGAGGTCAAGGGCAGGGAGCGAGTAGACAAGTTGATCTATCTTGTGAACTATGTATATTGGCAGTCATGAGGCAAGGTTTTAAGTGCAGGATACAGGAGGTCTGAGTCACTGTGCCCATCCCAGGTGGCACAGTAATAAACCCCAGAATCACTTTTTTCTAGATGTTTAACTACAAATTTATAACTCTGTCCTGTGCCTTCATAGGGATGGTATTTCCTGGTACTAAATCCCGAGTCCAGCACTATACTTGAGGTGGGGAATCGGTAGTAGAGGAGGCGTTCTGGGGCCTTCCCCTCGTGGTGTCTGTATCAGTGGATGTGGAAGATGCGCTGGTCAAGAACATCGCAAGTGATTATGACAGATGCTTTGGTCAGCCTGGTAACTGACCTCTTATTCATTTCCAAGTGGGAAGTTTTCTGACTTGCTGCGATGGGAAGAACA